TTCATTTATTGTTGCACTTTTCTCCCTGCCTACCCTCCACTCCAGTTTGTTTTTCTCTTTGAAAAGTAAAAGAAAAATTCTTTCATTGTTATACAATACCTCCCCCCAAGTCCCTCCACTATGCAGCCTTTGTTCTGAACTCCTTTCATGACAATAATACCTAATCATATATACCTGTTAAACAGTTCTCTCTCTCATCTCTTTCAATGCAATATACATAATTTATCCCATCTTTCTCAGTCTCCTCCCTCAACCCCAGTGTCAGTCCCATTTTACAACAGTGGGACTATGCAGTATTTGTCCTTTAGTGACTGAGATATTTCACTCACCATAATGTTCTCCATTTTGAATAATATTTCGTGAGTTCCTTGTTTTTCAATGCAGTGTAGTATTCCATTGTTTGAATATACCAGAGTATCTCTATCCATTTGTTTGTTGATGGGCACTTAGGTTGTTTCCAACTCTTTGCTATTGTGAACAAAGCCGCAGTAAACATGCGTGTGCATATATCTGCTTGGGTGGCCGTTATGGGGTCTTATGCAATCTTACGCAAAAGGTCTTTTCCTTTTGTGACTGAGATACTTTACTCAGCATAATGTCTTGATTCATCCATGTTGCATAATGAGTTACAAGTTCATTGTTTTTCAGGGCTGCTTAATATCCTATTATGTTTTCTATCCATTCTTTTTTTTTTATGTGTACTTGGGCTCTTTGCTAATGTGAATAATGCAGCAATAAATTTGAGTGTGCATACATTTGTTTGAGTCATAGTTTCTTTAGGATATTTTCCCAGTAGAGGGATATAACTAGGTCAAATGGTATTTCTGGTTTCAACTTTTTACTATCCTCCACAGTGCTTATACTATTTTAAATTCCTACTAACAGTTTAGGAGGGTTCCAGTCTCTGCATATCTTTGCCGTTATTGTTTGCTCTCCTATTAAACTTTGCTGTTGTTGCTGGAGTGAGATAATATCTTCATTATTTTGATTTGCATCTCTCTGATAGCTAGGGATTTTGAACATTTCTTCATGTGTTTGTTGAACATCTTAACTCCTTCTTTGGTAGAAGTGTCTATTCACATTTTGTGCTCATTTTGTGATTGGGCTGTTTATCTTTTTTCTTGTTGAGATGCTGGAATGTTCTGTAAATTTTAGATAGGAGTCCCTTATGAGATATGACGTTGCTAAATATTTTTCCCTAGCCTGGGGTCTTCCTTTTTACTCAGTTGCAGAAGTTGTTTCTTTTAAAAATGTTATACTGGTTTACAGACAAAGTTCATACACATTGTTTTTCACACTGGATCTTTCCCCTTTTCTTTACCCATCCCTCCCTCCACCCATCAAATTGTGTGACCCTATGATTAAACACCACTCCTCCAATGCTTGGATCCTCATATTTGTTTTACAATAATGGTCTTATATAGTATTTGTCTTTATGAGACTGAGTTAGTTCACTAAGCATAATGCTTGGAAAAGTTTTTTGATGTGCATAAGGATTTGATTTCTGTATGCGGAACAGATCATTCTGGAGGCTGGACTTTATGAAGAGGAAAGTGGCATCAAGATTGGAGGAAGACTCATCAACAACCTGCATTATGCAGATGACACTACTTTGCTTGCTGAAACTGAAGAGGACCTGAAGCATATGCTGTAGAAGGTCAAAGACTGTAGATTGAAGCTATGGATTGAAGCTCATCATCAAGAAGACAGATTCTCACCAGTGGGCCAATTGGTAGTACCATGATAAATGGAGAAGAAGAGATTGAGATTGCTAATAATTTCC